CTATTTCTACTGACTATTCTCCCAGTTTTCTACACTCTCCTACCGATGACCATCAGACTGCCCGCATAGTAGTGGTAGAATTCCGGGAGCCCGTGTGAACCGGTGCACTACCACAACCGTAGTTACCACAGTAGTACACAACCGTTTAAATCGCTCGTGGAGTCCCTGCAATGCGGTGAGTGTGCTTGTTGCTGGCTGCATCCGTTGATTTGGTAATTATGTAACTCTCAGACAGTTATTAACGTTCAAAATCTTTCTTAATTTGTTACATGTTCCATTTTCGGTTTTCACAAAGTGTACCCCCATATAGAAATCAAAGACGTAGTCCTACGTCAAAAGGTTAATGACGACCACTTTACGAGAGTCCTACAACCGATCCAAAGAATTAAATTGTGAAGTACAAGTTGGATTTTCAACCTTTGCAAACGGCTTAAGAACTGCAAATTGTTAACTAGCTCAGGGACACACAATAAGTGTGTATGTACTATTCATGAAAATGTTCAACTGTGCAAACTGCATAGATTCATATTTTTTCGAACAAAACTTGTTGGAAGAAATCGTGAAAAAAGACATCGATGAAATACAATTTGAACAATGCGACACAACCGACAGGTGTGATATAGAAACATGAGTAAAACAGCCGAACGAATTTGTTTCTTATTTAATTGCAAAATTAGAAAGAATAATACCTCACAAAGTCATCACTGGAAAAATCAGCAAACAACTATTAATCCATTTATCATTTATTTTAAAAATGAAGGAAAAATTAATCATTTGAGTCATTTCATAAGAATTGCGCCATGATTCTGTATCGTTCAAATTATTTTATCTCAAAAATTATTTCTTTTCTACGTACAAGACACCAATTAACTGTGAATAAAATTTATTTCATGACTGACAGAGCTGCATCCCAGTATAAAAATCAAAAAAAAAATCCTAGTCTTTGCCAATTTAAGAATAAATATGGCATAGAAGAAGAATGACATTTCTTCGCAACACCGCATGGAAAAAGAGGAACACTTAAACGTATGGCTACCAGAGCTAGTCTAGCTACAGAACGTTAACATCCGATCAGCGTTGCCAGATTGTTTTCAAGCTTATCGGTATCAAATGCTTAAAAAATCGGTATTTATCGATATTCACCATTTTAATTAATTTTATATTTTTGCCTAGGTATTTGTAGGCAAAAATTCAAACTGTTGGACTAAGAACGAAGTGGTAAAGTCGGAAGAAATTTCCGGGAATATTTGAATTAGTCTCTTAATGATACCGAAAAAACTTCCAGCGAAAGAATAAAGAAGATCTTGTTGAGGAAGTTTGCAGGACATTCTAAAAAAATGTCGGAAAAACATCCGATGAGGATCTTTCAAGACAAATATTGAGAAACTTTTGACGAAAACTTTAGAAAATTTTGGAAAAATTCAGATAACATACCCAGAGTAAACCAGAAAAGTTTTGAAAATTGGAAGGCAATTCATAAGAAGCTCGGAAAAACCTTCTAATAGAAGTCGGAAAAAAACCTACGGAGAATGACTCATTGGGAAACTTCCAGGGGACGAAATAAACTTCTGGGAGAACTTCCTGTAGAAGATGGAAGAAACTTTTTGGAGGCGTTGGGAGAAACTTCCTAAGTTAGATTGGAAGAAACTTCTGGAAAAAGCCGGAAGTTAGAGTGCTTACGGAACAGTCGCAAGATACTTCAAGGAGATGTTGGGGGAAAAATCTTGAAGAAATAGATTTCTGGGCGATGTTAGCAACATTCCCGAAGTTCCTTACATGCTCAAATGATCCAGCAATATTCCTGATATTAATAAATCATCCCTGAAACCCCACAATTTGTCACAAATTTTCAGAACATTCCTGAAATGCACTTCGAAAAATCCCTTAATTCCTTAGAACTCTTTGGTTCTTGCGATTTTCCTGAAGTTAATGGGGCTGTTTTGAAGTTTAAAAAGTTTTCATGAACAGCTCGGAACTTTGCTGAAGATTTTGGAAATTCCCCGAGTTTCTCGGAGCTCCTTTAAAGGTTCAGACATTTTCATGAATTAATGTGTCCTGATGTTCTCAGAGCTTTCCTAAAGTTATCTTAATTCTCCTGAAAGAAATGGAAGTGTCCTGAAAACCATTAAATTTCCATGAAGTTCTTTGGACTTGTGATGTTTCCAAAATATCTCAGCCAAAACAAATTAGCCTCAAAGCTATATCTAGTTAATCATAGTCAAGCTATTTATTACGCTACGTTTCCGAGGAATCCCTTTAACCGAAGAGAAATTACAAACAGTCCACCAATTCCTGCTGAGCCAACCGAGGCTCATTCCAGGCACTCCTCCTGCTACGCATTGTCGAGGGAATATTCCGACAGATCGTCGGATTCCTGCAAGTGTCCGGACAGGTACTTATCCTTACATATCTTTAAACTTACCCCAAAGTGCGAACTATTCTGAAGTTTCAGAACTTCTGGAAAGTTCCTGCAGTTTTCCTGAAGCCAATGGAACCGCAATAAATCTCTGGAAGCATTCCAGAAGTTCCGGGAAGTTGAAAAAACTGACGTGAGAAGACGAAGACCCTTCGTAAACTACGAGGCTGACGATGTGTGGCTATGGGTCGAGTAGAGTGGAGACGACTTCTTCGTACAGCAGAGGACAACAAGGCCTTAGCCTGATTGGTAAGGTAAGGGATAAGGCGAAAGAACCTTTCAAGGAAAGCCAGAAGAAGCTTCCAAGGGAAGTCGAAATAGATTCCCGGAAGTAATTGTAAAATAACTTACAGCGTAAGGTGGATGAAAATTCCTAGGGATTGTTGGAAAAATCTTCGAAGAGAAGATTAGAGAAATTCCAGGAAGTTGGAAAATTAACATTGTGATTGATTTATTTGTTCAGTGAATAAAAGTATTTCCCGATTTCTAGGAATTACCAGGATGCGCCATCAGCTGTTTCTCGACCCGTTGGTAGCCAAAAAAGGCGACGAAATGGAAGCATTAGTCGAAAGAGTATCAAGCATAAGACATTTTTAAAGATTTTTTTTAGTGCTGGCTCAAAAATTTGAAGGTTCAAAAAGATAAAACCTCTCATAATAGTTTCAGCGCGGGCGAGCAGTGATCATTTTGATTATTAAAAAAGATCGGTATAAATCGGTACTGAAGCTCAAAAATCGGTATTCTGAGAAACCTTATCTGTACATCGGTATCAAGTTTGAAAATCGGTATAAATACCGATAAATCGGTATATCTGGCAACGCTGCATCCGATCAAAACTGCAAAGGAACTAGGGAAAACAGCCCTATTGTTGCGGTACGTTAGCAGCGTTAGAAGCCTATTGTTGTGTATGGAGGTCTCCATACACAACAATAGACTTCTAACGATGCTAACGTACCGCAACAATAGGGCTGTTTCCCCTATACGATTGGGCTCAGAAGCGAGAACAGCGAAATACATTTAAAAATGGCTAAAAACTACTAACATTTAAAAAAAAATCTACTTTCAAACCGCTACATTTCGAAAACGGTGTGACTTAGAAAATGTTTATGCCAGTTCTTTTTTATTGTAAATTTAGTGTAAGTTCAATATATCAAATCGAGAAAATAATTGAACCATACTTTGGATATTTTCCCAAAAATCATAAATTTTTTGAGCATCATTTCTTCATTTTGACCTATAATTCAATAGGTGGCATTTAATGTCTAAAACATCTGAAAAGTTAAAAAATGCAATAAATACATTTTTGGAGAAAAGTATTTTTAAATTTTTTATATTAAAAAAATGATTTTTTTTAAATTGTATTTTTTTTAAGCTATTAGTTTTAGATGTTCCCTATAACATTTCCCATTGTACCAAAACAATTCGAAAAACTTTTTTCGAGAAACATTTTTCTGAATATAAGCTTAACATTCTTCTGTAGACCCTTTTCCAAATTAAGGCTGGTTTTAAAATGGTGAAAAAATACGAAAATTAATGCATTGGTGAATTCATCGTGAATCGCTCAAAAAGTTTATCGTGGTAGGGAAAACAGTCCTATTGATGCGATACGTTAGAAGCGTTAGGAGCCTTTTGTTGTGTATGGAGACCTCCATAAACAACAATAGGCTTCAAACGGTTCTAACGTACCGCAACAATAGGACCAGGCATGGAAAATCATTTACATTCATTTCATGCATTCATTTACATTCATTTGCCCCTAACTTTATTCATCAACAGAATTCCGCAAAATGATTTATGGAGCTTTTGTAGGTTTTGTTATTAGCTCAAACTTTTGCCAGTAACTCAAATTTGTATCTCTTATGCATCACGAATTAGAGCGGGCAGAACTCGTTACTGTTTTTCAATGAATGTAAAATACATTCACTGAAAAACAGTAGTGAATTCTGTTTGCTCTGGTTCGTCATGCATAAGAGATACGGATTTGACTTGTTAACAAAAGTTGTAGCTAATAACAAAACCTACAAAAGTTTCATACATCATTTTGCGGAATTCTGTTGATGAAAAAAGTTAGGGGCAAATGAATGAAAATGAATGCAAATGATTTTCCATGCCTGAATAGGACTGCCACCCTGCATGCTACTGTTGTGACTTGAGGTAATAATTGCACGCTTTTATTAAGAAACACTAACTAACTACTTTATTTGATATTACACTTGGTTATACTATGTCTGTTCACTTCGGTGGTCGGTAGGCAAAAAAGGACGAGAACACATCTCGTACTGCGTACAACCTTATTTGCTATAATCATTATGGCTACTTATGAAAATATTTCAAGCCAGCAATAAACCTAGGGATACATCATCTCTCCCACCATAAACAGCTTTTACACTACTGAACATATCAGAACTATTTCTTACATATTATAATGATAATACTTTTCAAGTTAAACAAGATTACAATACTTCTAGATGGATTGATCACTACTTGAGTACAATGTCGACATCAACCAATTATAGATAATACTTGAGTCTTGGCTGACCTTTGAGTCAATTTGATCGACGCACTTTTGGCGATTTTGACTCACTACGTCGACGCTTGTTAGATTTCTTCTTCTTTGTTTTTGTAGTTGATGGATTTTGTTGAACGGTCTGAGCGTGGTCTCGACTACCACCGGCAGATGACGGTACGGGTTGATCGGCTGGACTGGTGTCTACGCTATCTTTGTCGACCTGACTGGATTATGACAGGAATTGAAGGATGGAATTCATCTGACAGATTTGAAAAACGAATTTGATTCACATGAATCATTCGCACATTTCCATTAATACTTATCAGGTAAGTTAATGGACTAATCTTTTGCAGAACAATTGCAGGTATCCAACAGACGAGTTCTTTAAAGTGGTTCCGATACAGTACTTTGTCACCGACGTGGATTTCGATGGTTCCGAGAATTCGTGTGCCATTGGCTCTTTTGGTTTAATAGCAGGTTTAGTATGCGTACTCTCAATTTCAACCTTTCGCGGATATACAATATTACTCAGCGTTCGCGGCGTATACGTGAAAAGCATTGATGAAGGTGTTCGGTTTGTTATAGTTGACGGAGTGTTTCGGTAATTGATTAAGAATCGATTGATCTTACGTTCCAGAGACAACGGTTTGCATTTTTCGTCAAGCAAATATTTCTTAAGAACGCCTTTGACTGTTCTTACTCCCCTCTCGGCCAACCCGTTCGATTGGGGGTGATAGGGAGGTGATTTTAAAACTTTAACACCATTCGCTTCCAAAAATGCGACATAATATTCTGAATTGAACGGAAGGCCATTATCCGTAACTACCTCCTCAGCAATTCCAAAGTACGCAAAAAAGGATTCAACCCTTAGATGGATTAAAAATTTCTTTAATCCCACTATTGTCCGTTATCAACGTAAATTTGGCACCGTATAAGTACACAGCTCGAAAAAGTAGTGTAAATTTCTGTTCAATATGATGCACATAAATGGAGCGTAACATATCATATACGTTTACATTATATATCACGTTAAGTTCTGACACATTTCATGCAATGTAGCAAATATTGTATACAAAAGCCCATCTTTGTAAACAACATTGTTTGCAAGTTGCTCGGTTGCGTGAAATGAAATACAAGTCTACATGATTGAATGTTTACATCACAATTAAAATTCAGAATTTTTATCTGTGTACTTATGGAACTTTGTAATTCCAAAAAGGACAGCTAATGCTTCTTTATGCACCTGATCATAGTTTACCTGAGCAGGTGTTAGAGTCGATGATGCAAAACAGACGGATTTTTCAACATTATCGACTAGATGTGATAAAACTGCTCCGACACCATAAGGACTGGCATCGACAGCAAGAACGATTGGCTTAGACGGGTCATATGGTTCGAGAAGATCATGTTGAAGCAGTAAGGACTTCGTACTCTCGAATGCTTCCCGGCACTCTGGAGTCCAAACAAAACGACTGTTTTTACGGAGCAATTTGTATAGGGGACGAAGTTCTATCGATAGATTAGGAAGGAATCTATGATAATAATTAAGTAGCCCGAGATATGCTTGCAGCCGAGAAACATTTTCAGGTGCGGGGGCATCAATTATCGCTTTTACCTTAGACTCGCTAGGGCGTATACCTTCCGACGTGATGGTATAACCTAAATAATCGATCTTCGACTTGAATAAATTAGATTTTGTCAAATTAATCTTAACATTATGATTGTTTAGCTTCTCAAGAACGCTGTATAGATTTATTCTCCAATCATCCACGTCTTCTCCACCAACAATAATATCATCCAGGTAAGCTATTCCTGGGAAATTGATCAGAATTTGATCAATTATCGATTGAAAGATCGCAGGGGCGGATGTAATCCCAAAAGGCATCCTGGTATAGCGAAAAAGACCTCGATGGGTATTTATGGTACAAATACCCTGTGATGCATCAGACAATTTAACTTGTAAGTAGGCTCCAGACAAATCAATTTTACAGAAACTTTCCAGGTAGCCACCTTAGCCAAAATCTCATCGATTCTGGGTAGAGGGTAATGTTCAGCGGTTATGTTACGGTTTAGCGTGGCTTTACCGTCCAAACAAATACGCAATGATCCATCTTTCTTTGGAACAACCACGATTGGACTTGCCCAAGAAGATGATCGAACTGGAATCAAAATGCCTTCCGCAACTAAATTTTTTAAACCCTGCTCAACTTTCGCGCGAAGAAGAAACGGAACTCCGTATGCCTTGTGAAACACTGGCGTAGCGTTAGGTTTTAGAACAAGTTCCGCGGAATAACCGCTAATGGCGTCTTTATCAGTGTCGGACACTACTTTCGGAAATCGCGTTTGAAGCTCGGACTCAAAAGAAGGTTCTAAACTACTCACGGACTCAACTGAAAAGATTTTTCTCCAATCCGGGTACATCCAATCCAGACCGTCTCGACCCAGTAGCGGACTCATTTCCTTGTCGGTTGGAATCACGATCAGGTTCAACCTGCCGTGGACTCCTGACGGCCCGATAACACGGACAGTGACGATGCCTTCCGGTTGAATTCGTTGACCTGAAACAGAGATGAACTTCTGAGAAGTAGGAACTAATAGACAATTCGAGAAAAATCTATGATACGTATCGGACGAGATTACGCTTCTGCAAGCTCCACAATCAGCTTCGAATTCTAGACGGTGACCTTCACAGTCCAGCGACACAAATTCTGGCAAATTGACTCGGTTCAATGACTTCGAACTACCGTTGCTTGAAGAGGGCAGTTCACTGACACTCGGCCCCAAGATAGCTAGACTGCTACTCCTTGAAACACATGTTGCTTGCATTTTACTGACTATAGCCTGGTACGCAGCTGAAAAGAAAACGGAAAAGTAATTTTTGAGGATTTTTCCCAAATGAAAATTTGACAGCTATAGTCTGCTAAATTTTGAGATTATAGGGAGATGTCGTCAAATTGTAAAATCAACACTTATTAGTGTTTATGTTGTTTAAATGCATCCAAAACATCAGTTTTGCAATAAACGCCAACATTACCTAACGGAATAATTGATCAGACCATTATTCCGCAAGGAAAGTGAAATTGCATTCAGAATGCGCCACCTTCATGTCGATCACGATACTAATGTAATCGATCTTTCCTTTACCGATTTCTTTTGAACTGCGTACTGGGTCAAGAAATGCTGAGGAAAAGTAATTTCTTTTGCATTCCGTGTCCTATCCGGTAGCACATAAAAACGTCATTACTTTTCAGCTGCGTACCAGGTTTATGACGTGTAACTCGTTGGATTCATCTGGCTCATCAACTAAGGCCAGGAGATTTAGACGGAGTACTTCCACTTCATCTGACTACTACTTCTTCTGCTACGCGATTGTGTCCACTGGTTTTCTTTGACAGACGACTTTTTGCTAGACAGCTTGTAGAGACATGGCCTTGCTTTTCACACGTATAGCAAGTTTAATTGCGTGCTGGGCACGTGGCTGGGTCATGATGCCGACTGCAGCGATAACATGGCCTGCAGGACTTCTGCGAAGGGTGACTGGATGACTTATTTTGCTTCTTTTCCTGCTGGTGCGATCTGTTTTTCAGCTTTTTCCCTCCTTCCTTCTGGAACGTTGCTAACTTTGGAGACGACTGACTTGACATTTCTTTGTTTTGGCACAAAGCTGCTTCCCAGCACCTGGCAATCGAGCATGCCTTCTCAAACGTTAGGTCAGCTTCGGTAAGCAGCTTTTTTCGCAGCCGTTGATCGGTAATTCCAGCGATAAACTGATTTCGCAATGCATCGGTAATAAATGCATCGTAATTGCATGATTGAGCCACTGCTTTGAGATTGATGATGAAATCGGTGATCGACTGAGTGGCAAGCTGTTCGCACTTCCTAAACTTGTACCTCTCTGCCACGACGTTTGGGGTTGGAGCGAGGTGTTTTTTAAGAGAGTGACCAGGACCTCGTATGATTTCGTACGAGGGTTCTCAGGCGCGCATAGTCTGACCGCGACCGTGTACAGACTAGGGCCCGCAACGGTGATTAACACGGGGACTTTCTTTTCATCCGGCGTGTCGTTCACCAAAAAGAACATCTCCAACCGGTTGAGATATTCTTCGATGTTCTCTCTTAACACGAAAGGTTCAATCTGACCAAACATGCCGCTCGAATCACTACAGCTCCATTGCCATCTTCTTTTTTTACTGAGCGTTCTCCTCCTTGCGACATCGTGCTTGATTGAGGTTATGTTCACCGACCACGCTGCACACTTCACGTTTCAATATTAAAATTCTATTTTTATTTTAATCCTCGTCGTCAAGTTTAACTGTTGTGACTTGAGGTAATAATTGCACGCTTTTATTAAGAAACACTAACTAACTACTTTATTTGATATTACACTTGGTTATACTATGTCTGTTCACTTCGGTGGTCGGTAGGCAAAAAAGGACGAGAACCCATCTCGTACTGCGAACAACCTTATTTGCTATAATCATTATGGCTACTTATGGAAATAGTTGACATGTCTTGTCTTTCAAGCCAGCAATAAACCTAGGGATACATCAGCTACATTATTGTTTTACATGAACCATTTGTGGAGGAAATAAACCAACAACATCATCGGGTAAAGGAAAGTTTCACCAACCGTTGATGTTGTTGGTTTGCGTGAGCGACCTTTGGTTGGTGATTCAAGGGTCAACAAAGGTTTGTTTACAAAATGCCTGCATGGCCTTTTCACATGTTGTTCTTGATTTGGCTAGAACATATGTAAACGCAATCTCGATGTTTCACCCCTCATTTCAGTGAAATGTTTGATACTTATGCGGTGTCTTTTAGAACGTGAAGCACCTCCGTGTTGCAAGCTCGCTGATCTTATACACATGTCTATTGAATGGTACAGTTAAAAAGTACCTAAATATTGTAACGTGTTAGGGCAAAAGTATTTTCTATTCTAGGATACCATAAGAAAGTCAAATATGGTTAAAAAATCGGCCCCTATGAAGTCACATGCTCAGTATAATCATCCGATGCAGATATAACCTTTTGAAATGTTCATCTGGATTTGTATTATCCCACCTGGGTCGTGGGGCTGCTCTGTTTTGTTCGGTGGTTCTCTAAACCCAAACTTTTTCATCACCCATCCGAGACTACGAGGAAAGCGTTCCATCATCTTCAGTGTTCCGACAAGTGACGACAATAAATTACCGCCGGTTGTTTCCGGCTTTGCAGGCAGGATCCA